CAATATTTATGTTCTAAAATTTAGGAACAACTTTTAGCTTGTCTTCAAGTAAAACCAGGTTGTCTATACTTTGATGTGAAAAAAGCAAGGGAATTTTTCCTCTGGAAAAGTGGTAGAGAAAATGTAAAAAATAAGCATTGTGTGTGAAAGTCGGACTGGGGTCAGGGAAATGAAAAAAAATTATATAGAGTTTCATTAATTCCTCCCATTTTCTTTCCTGAATATAGTTTTCAACCTCGGATGCACATTAGAATCACATGAAGATGCTTTCAGAAAAGTATTGATCTACAGGCCCCATGCCCACAGGTTTTTATTTTATTCATCTATGTTGGAGCCCAGGCAGCCAGGGTCAGAATTCACTGCCCTAAAAGGCTGTGTACAAATAACATGGAAAAACATTCAGCCTCACTTGCCATTAAAGAAATTCAAAACAAAATGACAAGTAATTTCTGTCTATAAGTGTGTTTAAAAATAATAGATTATGTTGAACAAAAGAAGTCAGACACAAAAGAGTATGAAACTGCCCCGACAGGGTTGACAGGAAGTATATACTGGGTTCTGGACAGAAATATAATGATAATAAAACATTAATCAGGCTTCACTTTGGTCCACTTCCTTGTTGTTAAAAGTCACACAGCATTAGATACTGATCATTTGCATCTCCATTGTTCCTATAGACAGGACATTAACATTAGAATTATAAGTTTTTGTTTAAGAATTGCTTGGCCAGGTGAGCTGGCTGATGCCTGTAATCCCAGCACTTTGGGGGGCTGAGGCGGGTGGATCATTTGAGGTCAGGAGTTCGAGACCAAGCAGCCTAGCCAACATGGTGAAACCCTGTCTCTACTAAAAATACAAAAATTAGCCAGGCAGTAGTGGCACATGCCTGTAATCCCAGCTACTCAGGAGGCTGGGGCAGAAGAATCATTTGAGCCTGGGAGGCGGAGGTTGCGGTGAGCCAAGATTGTGCCACTGTACTCCAGTCTGGGGACGAGAGTGGGATCCTGCCTCAAAAAAAAAAAAAAAAAAAAAAAAAAAAAGAATTGCTTAAGAGGTTTTTTAGATGCAAATTCCAGCAACCAGTTTGAAGAGCCCCAAAAAGGAACAGAATCAGCATGAGAATATAGCTTCTTCATCTCCCTGTCCCATGTCTTCACCCTGGACTCTTTGACCTACCAACCATCTCCACTTTTTGGTCCAATCTAAAACTCTTAAAAACCCTAAATCTAAGTTCCTCAAGGAGATGAATTTAAGTTTTCCTCCCGTCTCCTCATTTGTTGACTCTACAATTAAACTTCTTTCTCTGCTGCAACACAATGTCTTAGTGTGTTGACTTGCTGTGTACATTGGGTAACAAACCTATTATGGTTACAATTACATGTAGCATAATTCCATTTAGATGAAATTCTAGGACAGGCAGAAATCAGAACAGTGGCTACTGGAGGGAGGGAGAAGCAGTAAGTACAGATCAACTGCAAACAGGACATAGAGAACTTTAAGGGACAGTGGAAATGTTCTCTATTTTTTTCTTTCTTTTTTTTGAGATGGAATCTTACTCTGTCATTCAGGCTGGCGGGCAGTGGCACGATCTTGGCTCAGTGACTCACTGCAATCTCTGCCTCCTGGGATCAAGTGGTCCTCCTGCCTCAGCCTCCCAAGTAGCTGGGACCACAGATGCATACCACCATGCCTGGCCAATTTTTGTATTTTGGTAGAGACAGGGTTTCACCATGTTGCCTGGGCTAGTCTTGAACTCCTGAGCTTAAGCAATCTGCTCGTCTCAGCCTCCCAAAGTGCTGGGAGTACAGGCATAAGCCACTGCACCTGGCCCTGTTCTGTATCTTGATTGGAGTGGTGATAACATGGGCACAAACATTTGTCAAAACTTATCCAATAGTACATTTAAAAATCTTTGCATTTGTTACATGCAAATTATATCTCAATTAAACAAAGAATATTGGGGAAAATGTCATCAGAACCCCTCTCCCCCATCAATAGTAGCACTCAATGTTAATGAGGATGTGGTAAAATTGGTACTTTTATATAATGATGGCAGAAAAATTTAGTAGTGTCAGAGGCATTTGAACCAGAGCAACTCCATCTTGAATAAGGGCTGGGTAAAATGAGGATGAGACCTGCTGGGCTGCATTCCCATGAGGTTAGGCATTCTTAGTCACCGGATGAGACAGGAAGTCCGCACAAGATACAGGTCACAAAGATCCCAGTGATAAAACAGGATGCAGTAAAGAAGCTAGCCAAAACACCGCCAAAACCAAGATGGCAATGAAAGTGACCTCCTTTCCTCTTCCCTCTCCATTATATGCTAACTATAATGTATTAGCATGATAAAAGACACTTCCATCAGCACCATGACAGTTTACTAATGCCATGGCAACATCTTGAAGTTATCCCATATAAACTAAAAAAAAGAGGAACCCTCAGTTTTGTGAAATTCCTGCCTCCTTCCCAGAAAACAAGAATTTTTTATAATAATATTTATATTCAAGAGTTTATTTTGAAAACAAGAATATTTACAATCAAGAAATAACCATAAAAATAGCCACCCAGCAGCCCTTGGGGCAGCTCTGTCTGTGGAGTAGACATTATTTTATTTCTTTACTTTCTTAATTAGCTTGCTTTTACTTTACTCTTTAGACTCGCCCAGAATTCTCTCTTGCATGAGATCCAAGAGCCCTCTATTAAGGTCTGGGTTCAGGATCCCTTTCTGGTCATGGTAGGAAACTTCAGAATGTTTGTCAATACATTTTAAGGTCTCTAGTTCTATAAAAATAAATTTAAAAATGAAAAATATATATACCAAAATGATTTTTTCAGCATTGTTTTGAATAAAAATATTCAACCATTAGAGCAGTGAGTAATTCTTAACCAAATTAGGATTCTGTTGTGAGATTTAATTCCAGCAGATCTAGGATTAACATAAACTGTTTTGCTAAAGCGCCTGTTTGGCACTGACTGTTGGTCAAGCATGTTACAGAGGGAAATGTAACGATTAAAACAGTGTGGCTTCATAACCTCACTCAGGTCCAAGTAGCACAAACCATGGCAGTTTGAACCAATTTATCGGCATTGTTTATTGATAACAATGACAATGATGATTTGCACCAGGTCTCAGTGAGACCCCCAAGAAGTCTCTGCTATTGAACCAGGTTACATGGCAGAAATATGCTTATGTGAACAACAGAATATAAAAAAATATTTGACAAAATCTCAGCTGAGACTCTATTTTGGGCTCCCTGGTTGTGAGGTGGTCAATGCACACAAGTGGCTCCTGATCTCAGAGAGGAAGTGCATTCAGCCACTGCCCTTACAGGAGGAACAGCATTCCAGCTCCTGCCTGACTTCTCTGGACCCCTTGCTGTGAAACACCCATGGGCTCTAATGCATATTCTTCCTCTAATGCTGTTTCTATATTACACCCTATTCCCGAAATAAGGTATACATTTATTAGCACTGTAATTTTGGGTTCTTTTAGTCTGTTAACTGTTGTACCCTGTTTAACTGCTGCTGTTAGTGGAAAGGCGTATCAACTTCATGAAATATTGTTTTATGAAAATACCAAATTTGGAAACTATAGCAACAAAGCACAATGCTTATCAGATGATATTAAAAGAAAGATGGTATAAAACTTTTACAAAAGCTATGATAATAGAAGTGTAAAATTATGTTTATTGACAAGACACTAGGAGTAAACTTCGGAGAATGTCTGCATAAGTTTTGTTTCATTCAAAAATTTTACACTGATCACAGCAGAGAGGTGTGCCATAAAGAATTATGAAAAAAAATTTGCACTGGGCACAGTGGCTTACACCTATAATGGGAGGCCAAGGAAGGAAGATCATTTGAGGCCAGGAGTTTGAGACCAGCCTGGCCAACATGGTGAGACCCACCCATTTCTATTAAAAAATTTAAGGCTGGGCGCGGTGGCTCACGCCTGTAATCCCAGCACTTTGGGAGGCCGAGGTGGGTGGATCACGAGGTCAAGAGATCGAGACCATCCTGGTCAACATGGTGAAACCCCGTCTCTACTAAAACTACAAAAAATCAGCTGGGCATGGTGGCGCGTGCCTGTAATCCCAGCTACTCAGGAGGCTGAGGCAGGAGAATTGCCTGAACCTAGGAGGCGGAGGTTGCAGTGAGCCGAGATCGCGCCATTGCACTCCAGCCTGGGTAACGAGTGAAACTCTGTCTCAAAAAAAAAAAAAAAAAAAAAAAAATTTAAAAGTTAGCTGGGTGTGACTGCATGTGACTGTAGTCCCATCTACTCAGGAGACTGAGGTGGGAGGATCACTTGAGCCCAGGACATTAAGGCTGCAGTGAGTTGTGATTATGCCACTACTCTCAAGCCTGGGTGACGGAGTGAAATCCTATCTCAAAAAAGAATTTTTTTTTTTTTTTTTTGCAATGTTATTTCATTATATGTGAAGTGAAAAAAAATTTAACTGCCTAAAAACCAAATGTCATTTTACCTTTGGACAATGGTATTTGCCTGATATACATAGATGTATGTATGTATAGAAAAAGAGAGAGCATGTATCATATCTGTAATAGATATCTTCTATCATTATATATAACATCCATATAATATACATATTAGTAATATTCTGTGTCAATTCTCTGAAGTAAAAAAATAAAAAAGCTCTTTAAATGAGGAGAGAGTGGTTCAGGCTGAGGAAAGTGTGTGAGGTGAAAAAAGTGGGAAGGCAACTGAGAAGGGTGTATTTGGGGAAAAACAAGTTCAATACCATCAAAGCTCAATGATTGGTAATCCCCTTCTCCCTCACTCTCTTGAGAAGAAATTAGGCCCCACATCTCTCTAGGAAAAGCCCTATGAACAGAAATGTTGGAAACACAGGGATTTTTTGATGGCCCTCTTGAAAGGGTGCTTCCGTGAGCAGCCCACTATTTAGCCCTAGAGCTGGCTCAGCAAGAAATAACTACTCCACATAGTTTTCTTCCAAAGAGAACTTGTCGTTGTTTACCTCACATGGACATTAAGTAGCTTCAATAATCGCACATATTCTTCATGTAGAGCTTCTTTCTCTTGCTGTAGCTTAGACAGCTTCTCTGATAATTCCTGGTTGCTGTTGACATGCTGAAAAACATTGAAAAATAATGAGAATTCTGACCTGACAAAGGTATAATGTTGAAGAAATGTAAATTGGCAAAGTCTTTCTGCTAAAAAAAAAAAAAAAAAAAAGCTTATAGTCACTCCTGCTTCTGAGATCATAGTAGCTTCATGAGATTTCCTGTACTTCCAGATTTTCTGAAAGTCAGCAGATATTTCCCTTGCCTTTTGCTTCCCCAGCCTTCCCAATAATTTTGTAAGCATCTAATTCCATTTATTAAAAATCTTCCAAGGCTGGGCATGGTGGCTCACATCCATAATCCCAAGATTTTGGGAGGCCAAGGCAGGCGTATCGCTTGAGCTTAGGAATCTAAGACCAGCCTGGGCAATATGGCAAAACCCCATACCTAAAAAAAAATACAAAAATCTGCCAGGCGTGGTGGTGTGTACCTGTAGTCCAGCTACTTGGGAGGCTGAGGTAAGAGGATGGCTTGAGCCCAGGAGGCAGAGGTTGCAGTGAGCTGAGATCATGCCACCACACTCCAGCCTGAGTGACAGAGCCAGACCCTGTCTCAAAACAAAACAAAACAAAGCATCCAAAAATCTCCCAGCTTAACATATATAAAGTGAAAGCTGTTCTCTTGAATTAACTCTGATAAAGTATTTGGCTCTAGAAGTGACTATAGTGATGAGAAACTCAAAGTTGGGAATTTGGGATTGGTCATCTGACCTGGCTAGCTTTGAAGGCGATATAATCTTGTCACTAGTTCTAGCAATCCATGGCAAAAGAATTAAGTTTGTACTTTTAAAAGTTTATACTTTTAGACTACTTATAGTTTCTGGTAATGAAGTGCTTTAGAAGACCACGTGAGTGGTATAAAAAGTGTTATAATGGAATTGAGGACTACAAGGATTGTGAGGTGGGCTAGCCACATCTGACCATGTTACTGAGCTTAGAAGAAAATGTCCAACTTGGGGATTTAATTACTGGAACAAGGCATTGTCTGAGAACCAGGGACCTTCTGTGAGTGTCCTAAAATAATTTCTCTCTTGTAGTCAGAATACCAATATATCAAAAAACCAAATCACAAATATCAAGTGGATTGCAGAAGGACAGCAGTAATTGATTTCACAGGCTTGCCAGGTTTCTTATGTGAAAAACAGGGCTTTGGGAATGTGTGGAAACCTGAGAATTGGGAATGAAGACATCTGGGAGGACTCTAATAATGTTGAACCCCCTGGACACAGTGCCTCTCTTGCCAGCACAAGCAGTCCCTCCTCTCCTGTCTAAGGAGATTTAGTTTAAAGATTCTATATTGATTTCACCCAAGGCACTTCCCTTGTAAGGGGCTGCATATTGTCCTCAAGGCCCACCTCTATACCACCACCACTTCTCATTGTCTCCCATCTTGTAACTACAGTTGGATCCCAGCACGCCATGGTGAGCTGGCGTTAAGTGTAGGGACTGACCTGGGGACTGCCATACTGAAAGAATGGCAAGACTTCACCAACTTAAATTGGCAGAAACCCTAGGAATATATGCAGGAATGTATTTGTAGGGAGTTATACTAGTCAGTGCCCCTAACTTTAGAACAACATGAGGGTTAGGGGCACTGACCCCCCACACAGTTGAAAATCTGCATTATGATTTTTTTGACTTCCCACCAAATCACTAATAGCCTACTGTTAACTAGAAGTCTTATCAACAACATAAGCAGTTAATGCATATTTTGTATGTGTATCATGTATCGCACTCTTGCAATAAAGTTAGAGAAAATAAAATTTTATTAAGAATATCATAAGGTAGAGGAAATACATTTACTATTCATTAAGTAGAAGTGAATCATCACAAAGTTTTTCATCCTCATTGTCTTCATGTTGAGTAGGCTGAGGAGGAGGAGAAGAGGAGGAATGGGTCTTGTTATCTAGGGGTGGCAGAGCTGGAAGAGGTGGACAAAGTGGAAGAGGAGGCAGAAGAGGCAGGCACATTCAGTGTAACTTTACAGAAATACACTGTAATTTGACTTTTTTGCCTTTTCATTTCCCTGGAAATATTTTTATATGGTGCCAATCCTTGTTTGTTGTTCACGTTAGTTTCAGTATCTGTATCATATAGAAAGGTCCACATTGAAAAATAAGTCAAAAGCAGCCTTGAATGTTTGGAATCCTTCTGCCAGATTGTCTAAGGTCCATTTGTTTTCTAGTACTGCTTTTTCTGTTTTCTTCCTCATCATTTGGCACTGGTTTGGAAGTACTCATCTCCATCTTGTTGTCCTATGGTAATTCCTCCTCTGGTGTGGTATCTATTCGCTCTTGAATTTCTCCAAGATTCATATCTTGGAACCCTGTACTCCTCACTTTTTAAAAAACCATATCCACAGTCTTTATCATGATTTCCTTGATAGGCTCTGTTGTAAATACTGAGAAGTCATGCTAACATTGGGACACGGTACTCTCCAGCAGGAGTTCATTGTTTTGGGCTTGATGGCTTTCAGGGCTTTGTAATAATGATGGCATCTTCGTGCCTGCCACTTGCCACACAAATAAACTAAAAATGGCAAAAAGAAAAACAAACAAACAAAAACAATGATGGCATCTTCAATGGCGCAATCCTTCCAGACTTCCCTCTCTATCAGGGTTCTCTTCCATAGTTGACAATCCTGTCCATAGAGTACTGTGTACAATGAGCCTGAAAGGGCCTTGTGACCCCCTAGTCTAGAGGCTGAATTACAGACATGGTGTTTGGGGGCAAGTAAACTACTTCAACATCTTTGATGTTGAACTCATGTGGTTCTGGATGGCCAGGGGCATTTGCCCAACATCAAAAGAAACTTAAAAGGCAGTCCTTTGTTACCAAGTTACTTCTTGATTTCAGGCAGAAAGCATTGAGGGATTCCATCTGGAAAAAGAGTTCTTGTTGTCCGGACCTTCTTTTTATACAACCAAATGACTGGCAGCTGGTGTTTACCTTTTCCCTTTGAGGCTTGGGGATTAGAAGCTTCACAGATAAGAGCAGTTCTGACAATAAACTCAACTGCATTTCCACGAAACAGTAGAGTCAGCCTATCCGTTCCTGCCTTAAATCCGTGCTCACTTATTTTCCTTACTATTAAGTGTCCTTTGTGACTTTTTTTTTTTTTTCCAGAATAAGGCACTTTCACCTGCATTCAAAACCTGTTCAGCAGATATCCTGCTTTCTCAATGTTTTTCTTTCTTTCTTTCAAATCGAGACAAGGTCTTGCTATGTTGCCCAGGCTGATCTCAAACTCCTGGCCTCAAGTGATCCTCCTGCCTCAGCCTTCCAAAATGTGATTTTCTTAACGGCATCTGGGAACTCACCTGCTGTCTCTTGGTCAGCAGAAACTGCATCTCCTGTTTTCTTGACATTTTTAAGGCTAAACCTCTTCCTAAAATTAACAAACCACCTTTCGCTGGCATTAATTTTTTAGAAATTGGATCTTTCTCTGTTGCCCAGGCCGGAGTGCAGATGTGCAATCATAACTCACTACAGCCTCAAACTCCTGGACTCAAGAAATCCTTCCACCTCAGCTTCCCTAGTAGCTAGCAACTTTGCTAGCTTTAAATTCTTCACTTTCCTTTTGGTTTAAATTGTTGTATCATGACTTATCTTTTTCTTGAGTCATATTAGAGTCTATAGGTCTGGCTTTCTTACAGCAATCCTACACTAACATAAAAGCTGCATTTTCAATATGAATAAAAAAGTATTTCACAAAAAGTGCATGGTTTTTATGCCTGCTAGCATAGCTGCAGCAACAGCTTCATGAATTTGCTTTTCTTTTTTTAAATAATGGTGCTCATGTTGGATTCATTTACCTTGAAATGTCGAGCAGCCATAGTTGTAGATCTCATCTGTGGTACCTATGAAGCAATTCAACTTTTTATTGTAGTGTCGTAATTTTTCTTTGTTTCTTGGCAGCATTTCCAACATCACTAATGGCCACTTTGTGTGGGTCCTATGCTGTTATATAAGGTTTATGGTATTGCACTAAACACAGTGAAAAATACTTGAGACCCACAGATCTCTTTTTACTTCAACACAAAATTTACTGGTGAGAGGAGACTGCTCATGCAAAGAAGGTAAGTGTCAGATGGCATTTTAAGTGGATATTTGGAACATTTGAACTCACTGCAGGCCGAGGCAGGTGGATCACTTGAGGTCAGGAGTTCAAGACCAGTCTGGCCAACATGGTGAAATCTCACCTCTACTAAAACTACAAAAATTAGCTGGGTGTGGTGGCGGGTGCTTGTAATCACAGCTACTAGGGAGTCTGAAACAGGAGAGGCACTTGAACCTGGGAGGCAGAGACTACAGTGAGCTGAGATCAGAGCACTGCACTCCAGCCTTGGCGACAGAGCAAGAATCTGTCTCAAATAAAATAAATAAATAAACTTACTGTAATACCAAAAGGCAGTGGCTATGAAATTATTACAGCAGTACAGTATGCACTACAGTTAATTTTATGCAGTTATGATTTAATATTGCATCTTTACATTTGGTTACCTTTCTACTGCAAATGATGCTATGTATGGTTTATAAATGTTTGTGTGTGTGTTTTCACAAATTTTAACTTTATAAGTTTATATACACTTTATGGTAGTAAAGGTAAAATAATAATATCTACATATATGTTTTCACGATGTGCCTAACTTTTTCACTATTTCTAAGCTGTGTGGCTCACCTCATGTACATGTTTTTTCAAATTCTGGCAATCTCCAGAAAATTTTCCAACATATTTATTTAAAAGGATTGGCATACAAGTAGACCAACACAGTTCAAAACCATGTTGTTCATGGTTAACTGTAATGTTAAACAGAATTTATTAATATGAATGTAGTTACTGGAATTTATGATTTAATGTGTTAATTTGAACATCTAAGAGTGACTTGGGGCCAAATGCAGTGGCTCATGCTTGTAATCCCAGCATTTTGGGAGGCCGAGGCAGGTGGATCACTGGAGCCCAGGAGTTCTAAGACCAGCCTGGGCAACACATTGAAACCCTGTCTCT